ATCTGTGGTGACTCGGGGTCAGAATAGGTCCCCAGTACTCCATGTTTGTCTCTCTGTGGTGACTCTAGACATAATAGGTCCCCAGTACTCCATGCTTGTCTCTCTGTGGTGACTCTAGACATAATAGGTCCCCAGTACCCCATGTTTGTCTCTCTGTGGTGACTCTAGACATAATAGGTCCCTAGTACTCCATGCTTGTCTATCTGTGGTGACTCCAGTCAGAATAGGTCCCTAGTACTCCATGCTTGTCTATCTGTGGTGACTCGGGGTCAGAATAGGTCCCCAGTACTCTATGTTTGTCTCTCTGTGGTGACTCTAGACATAATAGGTCCCCAGTACTCCATGCTTGTCTCTCTGTGGTGATTCCAGTCAGAATTGGTCCCCAGTACTCCATGCTTGTCTCTCCATTGGGACTCTGGACAGAATAGGTCCCCAGTACTCCATGCTTGTCTATCTGTGGTGACTCCACTCAGAATAGGTCCCTAGTACTCCATGTTTGTCTCTCCATTGGGACTCTGGACAGAATAGGTCCCCAGTACTCCATGTTTGTCTATCTGTGGTGACTCCAGTCAGAATAGGTGCCCAGTACTCCATGTTTGTCTCTCTGTGGTGACTCTAGACATAATAGGTCCCTAGTACTCCATGCTTGTCTCTCTGTGGTGATTCCAGTCAGAATTGGTCCCCAGTACTCCATGCTTGTCTCTCCATTGGGACTCTGGACAGAATAGGTCCCCAGTACTCCATGCTTGTCTATCTGTGGTGACTCCACTCAGAATAGGTCCCTAGTACTCCATGCTTGTCTCTCCATTGGGACTCTGGACAGAATAGGTCCCCAGTACTCCATGTTTGTCTATCTGTGGTGACTCCAGTCAGAATAGGTCCCCAGTACTCCATGCTTGTCTATCTGTGGTGACTCGGGGTCAGAATAGGTCCCCAGTACTCCATGTTTGTCTCTCTCTGGTGACTCCAGTCAGAATAGGTCCCTAGTACCCCATGCTTGTCTCTCTCTGGTGACTCCAGTCAGAATAGCTCCCAATACCCCATGCTTGTCTCTCTGTGGTGACTTGGGGTCAGAATAGGTCCCCAGTACTCCATGCTTGTCTCTCTGTGGTGACTCGGGGTCAGAATAGGTCCCCAGTACCCCATGCTTATCTCTCTATGGTGACTCCAGGCAGAATAGGTCCCCAGTACCCCATGCTTGTCTCTCTGTGGCAACTCCAACAGTTGTAGCGCTAAGACTCCCAAATTTGACACAGGCTTCTGACAGTTGTAGCACTAAGACTCCAATATTTAACACAGACTTCAAACAGTTGTAGCGCTAAGACTCCCATACTTAACACAGACTTCCGACAGTTGTGCGCTAAGACTCCTATATTCAACACAGACTTCCGACAGCTGTAGCGTTAAGACTCCCATATTTAACACAGACTTCCGACAGCTGTAGCGTTAAGACTCCCATATCTAACACAGACTTCCAACAGCTGTAGCGCTAAGACTCCCATACTTAACACAGACTTCCGACAGCTGTAGCGCTAAGATTACTGTGTGGATCATGCCCTCAAACCTCCTGTATAGAGATTCATAAGAAATGCTTTATTAAGGCATGTGAACTTGCTGACTTCTCTCAACACGGAGATGACTTGACTTGGGTAACAGGTGTAATAATTGGTTATGACACACCCGGGGGATAACACTGGCCTTCTGTCATGTCCATCATACTCTGACACCAAACAGTTTGACCGATTTCCAAGAAAGTTCGCAATTGCTGGGAAGATTTTTATGCACAAGAAGAAAGCTGTATTTCTTTTGTGATAATTCTGACAGATCGTAGATATGGCTGTCTTTTTAGCTCATATTTTCTGCCAATTTGGCACGCGTTTCTATTAAGAAATTATAAATCACCTGTCACTGCAATTTAGTGGATATGGGAAGTTTTTCTTTCCCAGGTCTGGAAGCAAGGGTGGATGGTTTGCACTGGGTCGGCCTTGTCATATTAGAAATTGATGAATAGAAACGGGATTCTTTATGATGAAAGTCGCTTCAGGAAGTGTAGAATCTGGAATTTCACCAACAATAGTTTAGGATGAAGCCTGGTCTGTCTGTTACCTGTCAAGGAGTTTTCACATAAATATCATAAAGTGTGGGCTTGATGTAGGGGGAGACCAGCAGTGATGACAAGCCATATATGCCACGGCCAGCCATAGCAAATTAAGGAGGGAACTTTCCAACAGGTTCCAAGTTTTTTCCCTGTTTCTGACATCTCGACACTATCAGATCATCAAAAGCAAATGGCAGTTCTAGCTTTCACAGCTACTAATTCATGATGTCGCTGCTTGTAGATGCCAGTTTAGGCCAAGTGGGAGAGTGGGGGGTAGAGGTGCTTGCAGTTGTTGTAATATGTCAAAACAGGCAGGGTTGGATAGGAAATAATACAAATTCCACTCTACAGGACTATAATGGCTTACATGTGGAATTTGGGATGTCCCTGTGCTGATGAAAATCAGAAATAATCTAGATGCTGATACTGTCATGTTTAGATTTGTTTTTTAACATGGAAAATATAGGATTTTTCTGATTGTTGTTGAGCTGGCTGTGATTATATATGCCAGTGTCGGTCTTAGAAAATAGTTGCCGTGGTAATCTGGTAATGCAGCTATTGTTGCAGATGGAGTCTACTCCGTGAACCTACTTAATGCTGTGAAGGAAGTTTTTTCTGAATTATGACAACTGCGTAAAAAGATGATATATTGTTTCCCTGCATTTTATCCCGGACATGCATACACCGGCTGACTCGAGACTGTCAATTTGGTTTACATTGGTGGCCGACTAGATATGACAAAAACAGAGATATGAAATTTTTTCTTCACTTTTTATGTTCGTGCCAGTATCTGTGATGAGAACTGATCAATTCTGTGATATGTGAAGAGGCTGGGAAGAGCACCGCACTACCTCTGCCTTAGCCATCTTGTGAAACATTAACACTTGTGCTGTGTAATATTTACCTGATAGATGTTTGTATATTGGGGCTCATTAGATGTTGAGATAAACTTGACAATGGCTAAAACGTCTGAGCGAAGGATATGGCATGCCGTCGAATTGAAAAAATTACTTCTTTACTGCTTGATATCAGCAATCTATATGTGATTACGGGGGTCCTTGGGTTCTACAAGTATGCTGCTTTAGTATTTATATCTAGGGATATTAACCATAAATCTTTGTTTTTTTAACATAGGGATTACTGTATTTTCGTTTGTGTAGTGCACACTGGAGTATGATGCACCCCCTTCCCCCCCCTATACTTGGTTGCAAGTTAAAAAATTTTTTTTTGTATATTATGCAGTACATTGTTTTGCTTCAGGTTAATGAACAGGAGATAACAAATGAAGATTTTGTGGTAAAAGATTACTACCCAGTAGACACAATGATTTACAATATCAACTCAGAGATTAAGATTATCGCATGTTATTACAATATCTCGTAAAATAAGCTGGAAATAACAATCTGCTGTCATTCTCTCATGATTAAGTTAATAAATACCCGTTGTAATAACTCAAAAGAATTTTAATGAAATAATCAGAAGAAATTAAATCTGAATCTATTATTGTACCCAGCCCCCTTGAGTCTCATACATTTTGGGACACTCATATGCCTGTGATATATCAGAACAGAAATGATGGATGTAACAATACAGTAAACTATGTTTATAACAAACACGCTTATAATGAACTGATGGATATAACAAACTGTTTTTCGGTCCCAGCCATTTGCTGTATATATGCCGTATATATGCTTATAATGAACTACGGTTATAAAAAACTAAAATTAGTGGTGCCATTACCAGTTCATTACAACCATAGTTTACTGTATATAGATGTACCATTCAATTGTTACACATTTTGTCCCATACAATACATATCCATGCAGTCTTGTCATTTTGTAATTATTTTTTTTTTAATACATGTCGTAACAAGGACCTGGATATCAAACAAGGCAAAAATTTGAATACAACAGAAACACAAACAAAATGAAATAGCAATGCTGATGATATATCCTACTAAAATTAGAAAGAAATACGGCCATAACTATAGTCTTATTATGTCATTTTTTTTATGAAAACATGTACTACTCAAAAGAAGTTAAAGAGCACCTGATTTTTTTTATTACTATTGTCATGCCATAACTATTGTAATATGAAAGAATCGGGTGTTTTTTAACTCCTCTTAAGTAGTATATTTACTTTGAATTAGAGTTGCATCCCTTTCACTGACCCATCATGTTGGCATCATTGTATTTCAATACACGACAGTGTGTTAGCGGGATACATTTTCATTAGGACATTCTTCTTCATCATTACTAAAGTTTAAATATTTTTTAAATATTTGAAAATTGATTTGTTAACGGCCAAATGTTTGGCACAATTTGGGAAACCAATCAGAAACCCTGATTTTTCTGGGGCTCTGATCTTGGGACTAGATACTAGTGATCTGAAGACTGCCCATACTTCATGGCTCTTGTGGCTATTCAAGCCCAAATAAGGACCTCCTTTACAACCAGGCTTGGGACCTCAAAGTATTGGCTGGTTTCATTGAGTAGTTTTTAACACAAATGCTTGATGTAGTTTGATGCTTTGAAATTAATTCTTGACAACTTAATATTAGAATTATTTTTTTTCAGATTTTTTTCCAGGTTTATATGATTTGTTTTGTTTTTCAGGGTCGTTTTTCTAATATCTATCTCTTTCAATAAACAACTTATGTTTTGTTTAGATGTCAATGTAAGCTTTATACTGATGATACTGATAAAGATTTTTACATGTACCTTTATGGTAAACAATGTAAAGTTAAAAAGGTAATCTTTTCATAAACTAACATAATAAATACATCACAATAAATCATAATGTACAAATTGATATCTTAAAGATTACAATAAAATATAACAAGTTTTTATACAATTAAAAAAATGACAAATATTTTTAATATTTTTTTCTCCATTTTTTTCAGTCCATTTGAATAAGGTGGTGCAATGAGGTATAGCGTAAGACCCTGCGCAATACAAAGCTTGGTCGGACTTACTACCCTTGGCTGATGTGAACTGTCAGTGTTCCTCACAGTGGGGTGTTATATGCTGATTGTCTAAATCCACCTCTGACACATGCACATCCTGATGTTTAGCACTGAAGCTACTCCCGTGATAAATCTATGAATTTGCTAAGTAATCCAAGTCGAAGCACCATAGAGGAGAGAACAGAAATGCCCTTTCTAAGAAGCCTGAAGATGAAAAAGCCATTCACCTAAGCCCTAGTCTTAGTTATGGATCACATCGGAGGATGATAAATTATTGGTTAGTAGGATTTATTGTTTTAATGACAGGTCGCAGAAGGTGAAAAGGGGGCCATAAAACATGTATTTATTTGATTTATGACGTCTGGAGTGGCACTGTTATCCCTGTTTATGGGCCTGATAGAAAAGCCATTATTTCCAACAGAGTAAATAATGCAGGGGGCCATATTTGCTAGTCGTGGATCAGTCTTGTTTTAATCGAGAATCGGACGAGTAATCAAGTGCGATGAAGACTAATACTGCATTATGAGAAATACTTGCACGATTCTGTCAACCCAAGTCCAAATAACGATAGTCATAGACTTCTGGTGATTTGCCTGACGCCATTTGCGTTCCTCCCTCCTGTATGCCTGTGTCGAGAGCAGCCTCTTATGACTTTGCCTAATACATCTCGGAAAAGCCTTCATCCATCTTATCCAAGTTTATAGTCACAGAAAGAATTAAGAAAAATGAGACGAATATGGTGGCTGGTGGATTGGCGTATGAGAAGTCGTTTGATAGACAATAAAGGATTAAAGCTCTAGACAACACGGTTTTATCACTGACCATTTCCAAGTCCCCATCATGTGTTCATCTGGCTAAGATGAAGCAAGGACGGGCCCATTCTCATAAAGTTCATTTCAAATAGACTCTCGCTCGGAGAGGCTTTGGACCAAGAATGAATTTCTATTTTGTATGCAAAGCAAGACGGTAACTATTAAATTCACAAAATGGAAATGGTTTTTATCTGACATAAACTGGGGACGTGTCACTGACATTTATTGACATCAGCACGCTGTAAATTTCTAAATGACAAATTTATTGTGCTCCTGCTATTATTTTTGTTTCATTATTGAGAATGTTGCATTATCATTGAAATAAAATATCATTGTTATATGAAACCAATTTATTTGTTGGATGTTACTTTTTTTCTAATTTCTTTGTGTGTTTATGTTGTATGATGGCTTGGCCAAACAGAGACGTTATCTGAGCAGTCGTCAAGGAGACGTTTATGGGCAGGAAAGTTTGATGTGCAGAGCCAGTGGTTGGAAAATCTTTCAGATTAGTTAATGGGCCATCATCATTTATCCATCAATCTTCAGACCAATTTATCTTTGCTTCCATCCACTTTCCCATCTATTCTTTCCTATTCAGACCAATCCACTTATCCATCTAAATAACTATCCATCCCCCTGTACCCACCATCCATTCACCTTCCAACTCATCCATCCATCCATCCATCCATCCATCCATCCATCCACCTGCTTAGCTATTTGTCCATACACAACCTATCCACTCCTTTCCACCCATCAATTGACTATCCACCCATCCATCTGCCTACCTATTCATCCATCATTCCTTACCCATTCATTCATCCATAGTCCATCCATCCACCTACTTATTCATTCAACGTCCCAACCCATCCATCTACCACCCATCCTTCCACTCATCCATCAACCCTTTCTTATCTATCCCATCGCTACCCATCCATTGATGTACTACCCAAGATCTCACTACTCTCCCTAACCACCCACATCCACCTACTTCCCACCCAACCACCTATTTCCAACCCATCCACCTACTACCCACCCATCCACCTACTACTCACCCTCCAACTATTTCCCACCCATCTATCTACTTCCCACCCATCCACCTACTACCAACCCATCCATCTACTACCCACCCATCAACCTACTACCCACCCATCCACCTATTTCCCACCCATCTATCTACTTCCCACCCATCCACCTACTACCAACCCATCCACCTATTTCACACCCATCCACCTATTTCACACCAATCTATCTACTACCCAGCCATTCACCTACTACCAACCCATCCACCTATTTCCCAACCATCCACCTATTTCCCACCCATCCACCTACTACCAACCCATCAACCTATTTCACACCCATCCACCTATTTCCCACCCATCCACGTACTACCTACCCATCCACCTATTTCCCATCGATCCACCTACTACCCACCCATCCACCTACTACCCACCCATCCACCTACTACCCATCCATCCACCTACTACCCACCCATCCACCTACTACCCACCCATCCACCTATTTCCCACCCATCTACCTACTCCCCACCCATCCACCTACTACCAACCCATTCCTCCACCTACTACCCACCCATCCACCTATTTCCCACCCATCTACCTACTCCCCACCCATCCACCTACTACCCACCAAATTCCTCCACCTATCACCGACCTCCTACCCATCCACCTACTGGTCACCCATCCACCTACTACCCATCCATCCACCTACTACCCACCAATTCCTCCACCAAATACCCACCCATCCACCTACTACCACCCATTCACCTACTTCCAACCCATCCACCTACTACCCACCCATCCACCTACTTCCAACCCAGTCACTTCCACCCACCCATCCACCTATTTCCCACCCATCCACCTACTACCCACCCATCCACCTATTTCCCACCCATCTACCTACTCCCCACCCATCCACCTACTACCCACCCATTCCTCCACCTACTACCCACCCATCCACCTATTTCCCACCCATCTACCTACTCCCCACCCATCCACCTACTACCCACCAAATTCCTCCACCTATCACCGACCTCCTACCCATCCACCTACTGGTCACCCATCCACCTACTACCCATCCATCAACCTACTACCCACCAATTCCTCCACCAAATACCCACCCATCCACCTACTACCACCCATCCACCTACTTCCAACCCATCCACCTACTACCCACCCATCCACCTACTTCCAACCCAGTCACTTCCACCCACCCATCCACCTATTTCCCACCCATCCACCTACTACCCACCCATCCACCTATTTCCCACCAATCTACCTACTTCCCACCCATCCACCTACTACCAACCCATCCACCTACTACCCACCAATCCACCTATTTCCCACCCATCCACCTACTACCAACCCATCCACCTACTACCAACCCATCCACCTACTACCCATCCATCCACCTACTACCCATCCATCCACCTACTACCCACCAATTCCTCCACCTAATACCCACCCATCCACCTACTACCACCCATCCACCTACTTCCAACCCATCCACCTACTACCCACCCATCCACCTACTTCCAACCCAGTCACTTCCACCCACCCATCCACCTTCTACCCACCCATCCACCTCCCACCCATCCACCTATTTCCCACCAATCTACCTACTTCCCACCCATCCACCTACTACCAACCCATCCACCTACTACCCACCAATCCACCTATTTCCCACCCATCCACCTACTACCAACCCATCCACCTACTACCAACCCATCCACCTACTACCCATCCATCCACCTACTACCCATCCATCCACCTACTACCCACCAATTCCTCCACCTAATACCCACCCATCCACCTACTACCACCCATCCACCTACTTCCCACCCATCCACCTAATGCCCACCCATCCACCTACTACCCATCCATCCACCTACTACCCACCAATTCCTCCACCTAATACCCACCCATCCACCTACTACCACCCATCCACCTACTTCCAACCCATCCACCTACTACCCACCCATCCACCTACTTCCAACCCAGTCACTTCCACCCACCCATCCACCTTCTACCCACCCATCCACCTCCCACCCATCCACCTACTTCCCACTCATCCCACCAAATTCCTCCACCTAATACCCACCCATCCACCTATTTCCAACCCATCCACCTACTACCCACCCATCCACCTATTTCCCACCCATCCACCTACTACCCACCCATCCACCTACTACCCACCCATCCACCTATTTCCCACCCATCCACCTACTACCCACCCATCCACCTATTTCCTCCACCCAGTACCCACCCATCCACCTACTACCACCCATCCACCTACTTCCCACCCATCCACCTATTTCCCATCCATCCACCTACTACCCACCCATCCACCTATTTCCCACCCATCTACCTACTTCCCACCCATCCACCTACTACCCACCCATTCCTCCACCTACTGCCCACCAATCCACCAAATTCCTCCACCTATCACCCACCTCCTACCCATCCACCTACTGGTCACCCATCCACCTACTTCCCACCAATTCCTCCACCTAATACCCACCAATCCACCTACTACCACCCATCCACCTACTTCCCACCCATCCACCTACTACCCACCCATCCACCTACTTCCAACCCAGTCACTTCCACCCACCCATCAACCTTCTACCCACCCATCCACCTATTTCCCACCCATCCACCTCCCACCCATCCACCTACTTCCCACTCATCCCACCAAATTCCTCCACCTAATACCCACCCATCCACCTACTTCCCACCCATCCACCTACTACCCACCCATCCACCTACTACCCACTCATCCACCTACTACCCACCCATCCACCTATTTCCCACCCATCTACCTACTCCCCACCCATCCACCTACTACCCACCAAATTCCTCCACCTATCACCGACCTCCTACCCATCCACCTACTGGTCACCCATCCACCTACTACCCATCCATCAACCTACTACCCACCAATTCCTCCACCAAATACCCACCCATCCACCTACTACCACCCATCCACCTACTTCCCACCCATCCACCTCCCAACCATCCACCTACTTCCCACTCATCCCACCAACTTCCAACCCAGTCACTTCCACCCACCCATCAACCTTCTACCCACCCATCCACCTATTTCCCTCCCATCCACCTCCCACCCATCCACCTACTTCCCACTCATCCCACCAAATTCCTCCACCTAATACCCACCCATCCACCTACTTCCCACCCATCCACCTACTACCCACCCATCCACCTACTACCCACTCATCCACCTACTACCCACCCATCCACCTACTTCCCACCCATCCACCTCCCAACCATCCACCTTCTTCCCACTCATCCCACCAAATTCCTCCACCTAATACCCACCAATCCACCTACTTCCCACCCATCCACCTACTTACCACCCATCCTCCTATTACCCATCCATCCACCTACTTCCCACCCATCCACCTACTACCCACCCATCCACCTACTACCCACCCATCCACCTACTTCCCACCCATCCTCCTATTACCCACCCATCCACCTACTTCCCACCCATCCACCTACTACCCACCCATCCACCTACTTCTCACTCATCCCACCAAATTCCTCCACCTATCACCCACCTCCTACCCATCCACCTACTGGTCACCCATCCACCTACTACCCACTCATCCACCTACTTCCCACCATCCACCTACCACCCACCCATCCATCTACTTCCCACCCATCCACCTACCACCCACCCATCCACCTCCTACCCACCCACCTACCACCCACCCATCCCACCACCTACCACCCACCCATTCTTCCACCTCCTACCAACCCACCCACCTACCACCCACCCATCCACCTACCACCGACCCATCCACCTCCTACCCACCCACCTACCACCCATGTGTCCATCTACCCAAAGGAAATGCCTGCTCTGATGCTGATGTTGGTGCTGATGTGATGTACATGATGATGATGCATTGTCCACCACTTCCACCCTACTGCATAGTGTCTCTGCTGAAGATCCCAGTCCTTAAATAAGAAATACATATTGATTCTGTACAAACTACAAACCTATTTTGAACCTTACCAGAAAACTCATTATCACATATGACATAGATTTTCTGTGCAAAACCATCGTGTTTCATATATATTCTCACATAAAAACAAC